GCCAACAATCAGGAGAGATATTTGATAGTTGGTGCTTGAGAAGACTAAACATGTATCTGCAATTGACATGAATGGAAACGAGTAATAAAGTATATTCATTACTCGTTATTCTCTACTAATAGTTAATTAAAGACTGTATATTATGGCTATTTTGCACATCCCTTTCAAGATTTTCAAAGGTTTATTGACATATCATATACACAACTACGGTGTAGTTATGCAATGAATGAAACACTTGGGTCACAGGTTCCTCAACAGTGCATTACAAGACATCTATCAATATGTGTGTACCTCCACCATTAAACTGTCATATTCTGCACATTTCTTATTCTATCTACATACATACGAGTATAATTCATATGTATAATATCAGTTAAAATAAGTGCTTCAACATAGTTAACATTGCAGGAAAGCAATATATTAGACGTTAAGTACTTTGTCAGGCTTAATATTTATCTGTAGATAGATACCCCCAACGTTTTTTTTCTTATTTAAAAGAAGACCTTAATCTGTTATTTAATGTTTAAATAAAGGTTAATTCGTTTTTCTGTTTTGCACCTCCTCCTATTAATATCTTTGTACATGCTGCACTAAACTGTTTTATTGTAGAGATCACTTTATAGTATCTTCTTGATTTTTTATATTCTATATTTCTATATTTATACTTTCCCCCTATGAAAGTATGTACTCTTAATATTTTTTTAATCAAACACAATAATTCAATAACGTGCTTTAACCACTAGATGCACACAAGGTACACAAATGTTTTCCGGATTTCATATCATATAAACACCAAATCCCAGCATGCATTGCGGCTAAAACATCCAATAAGCGAGCTTAAAACCATAGCTGAGGATCTTGGGTAATGCCTATGTCCGGTTATTTTTATTTTGAAATGCAGTCCCTGACGGACGCCAAAAAAGCCCGAGATTATGGAATTAAACCAATAAATAAAATAAAGCATAATTGTGTATTGTTGGTGAGTAAATAACAGTGTGTTATTTTGAAAAGAATAACAAATTAGAAGGAAACAAATATTTAAAAAAATACAGATTTCAGTATTCTGAGGCTCTGAGCCCCATTTCTTTTCCTCACAGACGGCAACAAAAGTCAGAAATTATACGATTTAAAATAAAAGCAATAATTGTGGCTTGATATTGAGTAAGAACATGTTTTTATGAACCACACAGCTTCAGGTCTTCCTCGACCCGACCGGAGAAAAAGACGTGCTGCAAGCAGTAGAAATACATTGCTTTTAAAATCGTGCTGTGCAACACGAAAAACAATCGTGCTGTGCAACACGAAAAAAAGGGGCAAATCGTGTTGGGGAACACGAATCAATAGATTAAAAATCGTGTTGGTGAACACGAAATGCCGTGAGACTGGGTTGGGAAGTGACGTCAATGCGGGAACGCTTCACTGTGCGGCGAGAGAGCCAAACACGGACAAAGTGTGTTGTCATGTGTAGAAATGGTGAATTACTGAGTTTAGGCACGTTAATAACGTTTTAATGAAGTTGACTACAGTATATTCATATTTGTCAGTGCTTTCATGTCAATTCGGCGAACATAAACATAACTGATCGTGGTGAAGATGATGATTACATTAGGATTAAAAATCGGTAGTGAGAGCTACTGAATTTTCTCGCGTAGGATGTGATATAAAAATAAATCGATTATTTTTGTAGTTGTAAACTCAAGTGGATGAAACTACATTTATTAGTGCTTTCATGTCAATTCGGCGAACATATGATAGATTAAATGATCGTGAGAATGATGATGTTAAACAAACCGATGCTTTTTGTAGTTGTAGTACACCTACATGGATTAAACGTGTGGTTTTTTTACCACAATGTTGGGGAAATTAATGGATAAAATGCACGGATTATTATTATTATTATTCCCACTCCGATCGGGACACTAGGTCCACCGTTTCCCCGCAGCGAGGCTCCCCCCGTTGACAGTTTACGTGGGCTGGGTGCAGTGGCGGACTGGCCATCGGCACGAATCCCGATGGGCCAGTACCCAAGTGGGCCGGTCGGATAAGTCACTAGCACATCCCCCATAGGCGGCGCGTGAGGCTCAGGTTTGGGAAGGCTAAATCACTTTTTTTACCTGACGCTGCCCGCCTCCGGCGTCTATAGAAAAGAGATCAACTCAGTGTGCGGAGTTTAAATCTCTCAAGTCATATTACAGGATAAAGGAAATACAGTTTAAACTGCCGTATGCAGAGAAGACGCCGACGTGTCGCACTTATCATTCATATTACATCATCAATCAGATCATCGATCATATAATATCATAATATATCATATATTTCCTTATCTGAGTCAGCTTCTCCAGCCATATCTGGCCGTGCAACACTTACAGTGTCACATACTGTATGCAGAAGTATTATTTTAAGCAACACATTATGTTGACGAAACACTCGAGTCAAATGTAATTAAAGTCAGATCCACTCGTGTTTTAGACGTGAACGCGCTATCAGCTGGAGAGAAAAACCCTGGCTTGATTTACCGAGTTGATAACCAGCGTCGTAGGACCGCTTAGCGAGATCTCGTTTGTTAGTTTGTTGTTGTTAGTTTGTTTGTTACTCAAACATATCCAGGGTATGTTGAACTTGCTTCGTAGTACAGGACAAAGGTGGCTGGCAGCGCTAATGTCGAAGACAAAGACATTATACATTATATTTGTATTTTACCAGGATGCAGTGACACAAATATTTACATATTTACATTTACTATCTACAGCACCCGCCGCCCCTGACATCCCCCACTCCCCCCGTCCTATCCTCCAGGCAATGCGGTACCAGAACTGGGACAAATTGACCAAAATGTAAAATAAATAAGTTTCAATTCATCCGTGGAAAAGGGCTGAAAATGAAAAAAAGTATCGGAAAATAGTGCCTCATAACCCGGGTAGAGTCCCCTGACAACTCTCCTCACATTCCTCCAGAGTCGGAAAAAGTCTGACTTAACTTTTCGGAGAACCAGAGAAAAGGGGTGAAAATGGAAACAAAGTATCGGAAAATAGTGCCTCATAACCCGGGTAGAGTCCCCTGACAACTCTCCTCACATTCCTCCAGAGTCGGAAAAGTCTGACTTAACTTTTCGGAGAACCAGAGAAAAGGGGTGAAAATGGAAACAAAGTATCCGAAAATAGTGTCCCATAAGGCGGGTAGAGTCCCCTGACAACTCTCCTCACATTCCTCCAGAATCGGAAAAAGTCTGACTTAACTTTTCGGAGAACCAGAGAAAAGGGGTGAAAATGGAAACAAAATATCCGAAAATAGTGTCCCATAAGGCGGGTAGAGTCCCCTGACAACTCTCCTCACATTCCTCCAGAGTCAGAAAAACTCTAAGTTAACTTTTGGGAGAACCAGAGAAAAGGGGTGAAAATGGAGAAATTGTATCCGAAAATAGTGCCTCATAACCCGGGTAGAGTCCCCTGACAACTCTCCTCACATTCCTCCAGAGTCGGAAAAAGTCTGAGTTAACTTTTTGGAGAACCATAGAAAAGGGGTGACAATGGAAAAAAGTATCTGAAATAGTGTCTCATAAGGCGGATAGAGTTCCCTGACAACTCCCAGAGACCAGTTAAAAAACTTAAAGTTTGGTAAGAACCATGCTGGGGGGTCTCCATGCAACAATTGTATCCGAGCCAGAGGACAGATGGAGCGGACACATTCCTCCATGAACTGACACAGCCGTTTTTTTTCTGAGTCCTCTCAAAAACCGGGTTTCCGATTTCGTGCAGATGGTAGCTTGAAAATGATGAATGCATTTTTTTGACGGAGGAGGGGAGGCCTCAATTCCCCTCTCTATTGTAAAATGCAACGGGGGAGTGGAAAAGTGTCCGGGGCTTCAGCCCGAAGCGCCGAAGACTTGAGCTTTTTTGAGCCCCTCCTCCGTTGGCACTCAGTCGTTTTTTCGAGAATTTTTTTAAACTTCATTTTTGAATATTGTAAGATATAATTGACCGTTTTCTTTACTTTTTCATCTTTCCACGGGTGGGGGTGCATGGCAGGCCGCCTATGAGCTCCCAAATTCGGCCTGGAACCTCCAGGAATTGTGAGCTAAGCTCCATAAACTGACAAAGTCACCCAGAAATGTCACTTTTATAGCCCAAAAATATATAATACAAATACATTTAAATAGTAAAAGGTACAATTGTGCTCCAAATTACCCGGAATTTAAATTTATATTGCCCCATGATAGTGAATACAAATCATTTTCATGGAAACAAATTTTAAAACGCCTGATTAATATGTTCGTAATGCTGGCAGCAGGTTCACTGCTGTTAGCAGGGTCTCACACTCACAGGCACCTATGCAGAGATCCAGGGTGATGCACAAGGCTTTCTACCCAGCAATGAGTCTTTGAAAGCTGGGGGAAAGTGTTGTGAATAGAGGGAGAGAGCAGCCAGAGAGAAGCGGGGTGTGAGACTCACAGAGCGCACCCAGAGAGATCCTTGCAGCGCATGGCTCTTGCACTCAGACTGCACCCAGCGAACAGGCTGCTTCACAGCACTTTACAAGCCAGGAAAAGTGATTGAATCCTGGGTATACATGTTGTAAATAGTCTGATACCTCCAGGGTGCATCACCGCATTTTACAAGCCAGGGAAGGTGCCTGAATCCTGGATAAACATTGTTTAATTGTTTTTAAATGTGTGAAACAGTGTTTTGTCACTTTCAAAACTCTCCCGTCATTGACCGGAGAAATTGGGTCGATGTTGTATTCAATCTGACCGTTAATATTCCAGTGAGACGAAGTACGTACAATGACCGGAGTGATCCCATGTTCATTTTGTCCCAAAACCGGAGCATTCCCTCACCCTTTCTGTGTAGAACTACATTGTTGATTTTTGCTTCTGATATTATGCATAACTGCAACTTCTTTTAAAAATTGATTTTAACCATAACATCTATCTTTTAGTGCAATGCTTCCTCATGGATGTTCAACATCAGTAAAACTGCACTCAAATAAAAATGATGTCTTTCAGAAGAAGAAGAAGAAGAAGACTACTATGTTAATGCCTCAAGAGGCGCTGTGGATACAAAGAGAACCCGTCCAGGTGCATTATGAACACAAAACAATTCACATTTTAAAGTATTTTGGCTGTTAAATGTTGTTGTTTAGATACTTTAACTGAATTCTTATTTTCCAGGTCGGTGGTTTCTCTTCTTCACTCAGAATATTCTTCTGATAGCAGTGTGTTGGCTCATACTGTTAGCCATCGTGGGCCTTCATTTCTACTGTGAGTTCCATAATATCAGTTTATTGAAGGTGTTTGTGTTGATGTATTGCTTCAAACCTGTGAACCCGTTCTCAAGTGTCTATTTTAACCATGTAACCACAGAAAGGCACACAAAGCCCAACACCTTCCTCTCTCTGTAACTGTAGTTACCTCTATCGTTACTGAAATACCAATCTGACTGAAGAAACACTAAACTTCCCCATGTCACTCATTTCCTAAGTAAAGTTGACCTACAACTACAGTGAAATTCGGTTTTAGGCGAAGTCCTCAGTAGGAACTAAAGGCCTGGGGTCGGAGAATTGGAAAACTCAAAGAAAATGACATTTTTGGCTCCAGTCTTTATTTGGGGTATTTCTTGAAACCTGAAGAGAGACGGACAAGAAACATCTTCCAAAAGAGGCACATTGACAAAAAACAAGAACACACAATTTATTTCTAAGGTCCAAGTTTAGTCACGTGAAGCGATGCAAATGAACTTCTTGACCAAAAGCAGAAGTGGTTAGTTTGAAGGCTGAGAGATAGACTTCAACAGAAGAGAGGAAACAACCAGTTCTCCTATTGCGATGTCCAGAGGTTTAATTAAAGCAACACTTCTCCATCTACGAGTCAGAGAGAGCTCAACAGAGTGGTTGTAGTGATGGCGGAGGGAGAGGAGGAGGTGAACTATGCTTCGGTTGTGTTCAAAGCCGGCAACAATCCTCAGCCTGCGGGTAAGTTTAGTTATTTAACAACTTTCACTTCCTGCTGATGATTTTGAAACAGAGCCTCTTTGTTAATATGATCAATGCAATGTTGAATATCAATCCAAAGTAAGTTGCTGTGTTTAATGTCCTGTAATTTAATGTGAAACCAGAAACATGACAAATCTGCAAATAATTTACCTTTTCTTTTTAGAGAAATTATTAAAAGGCTGTTTTTTTTATTTGTTTAGTGTGGGTGAACAATAGATTTTTAACTAACCCAGCATTTTTGCATTGATGTTTTTCAAAATCACGTAGTAGTTTGAAACCTTTGAACACCTTATCCTATTTCAGTTTAACTTCAATGAATATTTATTTAACTCTTAAAAAGATTCAAACTGATGGTCATTTGTTGGGTATTTTAATTTAGCGTCTCACACTGGAGATATATCATCACAAACTCATCTATTTAAAACCAGTGAGGAAATTGCGAAGTGAGATAATTATCTGTTGAGAGTTTCCCGTATCATGTAGTTTCCATTTTTAAACGGCATGATATAATACCTGAAGACAATCTCATCATTTTGAATTTGCCCATTTTAATGCTCTTTGAGGGAAAAACTGTGAATTTTTGCATCATTCTAAGGCAATTTTTCTGCTATATCAAACACTTAAAGCAGCCTTTAAAAGTGCTTCTCATTTATTCTCTAAAAACCCTGAGCATGTGCATTTCCTTTGACCTTTCAGCAAAAAGAGGGGAGGAAACTGTGTACGGTGAGCTGAAGGTGCAGAACGAAACAAAGAATGAGGGTAAGTTGTATTTTTTTTTAAAAAGCATTCAGGTGTTACTGCAACTGGGAGTACTACTGCTACCACTACTTTACCATTGTTACTATCATTAAAAGGGAACAAGAACTGTTCTAAAGTTTATATCTGTAGTGCTTTGTCAGTAACCCTAGCACTCTAACAAAGCCGTAACATATTGGGAGTGTGCAGTGTGACAAATGTCAACGTCTTGCAGACGGGGCATCCTGGTCTTCTGAAGAAATGATGGTGGAAAGCTGCATTGTCTTTTCTCCCATTTGTTTTTGACATATCAAAAATAAGGTTATAATCAGAGTATGCACCAGTCTTTAGGAGTATTGGTAATGTACTTTATTGGTAATAATACCAGCGCAGAGGGATACCAGCACAGCAGTATCAGCCGGATGATGTGCAGGCAAACGAACCAGAGGTCAGCGGGCAGAAGGTGAGTCAGGGCCGGGCAGAGGGTCAGGGAGCAGGCGAGGCGGTCGAACGTAGGTACAGGCAGGATCAGGGATCAGGGATCAGGCAGAGCAGGCAGGTCAGGGACAGGCAGGGTCAGGACCGGGTAGGAAATCTGGTAACAAACGTGTGAAAGACTAGCAGAAAAGCTAATGGAAGCAGAAGAGAAAGAGAGTGAGCAAAAACGTGGGTGTGGTTAACAGGTGAGACAGGTGAATGGAAAACTACTGGTGAAAGATGGAGCAGACTGTGACAAAAGTAAGTATAAACAGCAAACTGTACTTAAAGTAATCAATGTACACGACACAGAAAAGTTCAAAATTAAAGAAAAAACACCCAAAAAACGGTTCTACAGTAATTAAAGAAAATAAACTTAAATGTGTACAGATGCCAATTAAGTTTCTTTATTATCTAGTTTTTCAGTTGTTCATATTTATAACAACACATTATATTTTTGGAATAATAATGCATCTGAATTATTAACTTACTATAAATGTAGTGCAGTAAGATATATGTCCGGCAGGGCTCAGTCAGTACTTGGACTGTGAGCCGTAGGGTTGCCGGTTCAAGTCCCCGACCAGACCTGAATATGGAGTGTGGACTGTTACTTGGAGAGGTCCCAGTCCACCTCCTGGGCCCTGCCGTGGTGCCCTTGAGCAAGGCACCAGCCATCCCCCTTCCCCCCTCACTCCCATTGCTCCCCGGGCGCTGTGCAATAGCTGCCCACTGCTCCTAGTGCTAGACTCCTGGTACTAGGATGGGTTAAAAGCAGAGAAAACATTTCACTGTGTGCTGAGTGCTCTGCATGTGTGACCATTTGTTACGACCCGCCTCCCTACTCAATAGTAGTGGCTCGTGAGGCAGTCCGCAACATAAAACAAAAGTACACAACACGTAGGCACTAAACTGTGATCATACATTTATTGCCACAATACTAAATCATTCCATTGGAGGACAGGTAAAACAAACAAAAAGACGGAGGGGACTTGGGCCAACCATACCACGGGCCGTAGGATCCAGAGCCTTCCTCCGCTACCCAAAATCCAACAGAACCTAATGGGAGAAATAAAGCCGCGAAAACCTAATACTAACACGTCCTCCAGGAAACACCACAAAAAGGCAAAAGAGCTCTGACACAGCAGAGTGATCGGCGCCCTCCTTCTCCTTCAGTCTCCTCTTTTATGCTCGGCTGATTGGCAACTGGGAACACCTGCGCCAAGCTCGGCTGAGTGACAACTGGGAACACCTGGGGAAGGCAGAGCCAGGTGTACCTGCACAGCAGAGAGAACAAAGAGGACAACAAAGGGGGGGGGGGAGTACGTAACACCCCCACCATGAGTTGGTGATTTTGTTTTTAAAACAAAACAATCACAACAATCAACCTTAGTTGACAGACGTGCTCACCACCACTCATTCCACACACCAGACAGGTTAATAACACACAATAACTGCTATATTATAAGCGCGACAATGCATCAGCCAACACATTATCACATTATCCTTGCCACGAATGTGTTTGACCTCAACATTGAAGGCTTGCATGAAAATACTCCACTGCATCAACCTTTGATTTGTGTTACGCATTCTCTGCAGAAACACAAGGGGGTTGTGATCGGTGAAAATAGTGACAGGAATGTTTGATGACCCCACGTATACCTCAAAATGGTTCAAAGCCAGAACCATAGCCATTGCCTCCTTTTCGACTGTGGAACCAATGGTGGAACACACCCGCTGGTGGGGATTGAATTTCCCGGAGCGGTACGACACGGGGCGCTCCACCTCACGATCAGCTCCCATACGTCTGCACGCTGTGCATCAGGCAAGTGTGCCAAATGAGACTCCATATTGGCCAGAGTCTCCGCAGCGATCGGGGCCTCCGAGGTGACAGGGGTGACAGGGGTGTCACTTTTAGCACTGGACAGCGCCTCCACACAGGCAGCGACAGGGTTATGAACAGCCCCAGGGCTTATCGTACCTGATCTCCCACCCTCACGCCATGATGGAGGATCCCTGACCGGTCTGTCCAATCCCGTAGCCGTAAAACTGTTGCGGGTGACTGCCACCGCATTCACTCCCGGCTTAACGAGCACTCTGCCACCGGCTAAATCATTCCCCAAGACCAAATCTACCCCTTCAATGGGAAGACATGGCCGAACCCCGACAGTTACCGGACCTGTGACCAGATCTGACTCAAGATGAATATTATGCAATGGCGAACCCACACACTGCATACCAAACCCCCTCACAAGAACACCCGAACCCACAGCAGACTCCTCAGAGAGGGGCAACACACCCCTTATCATAAAGGATTGCGAAGCTGCTGTATCCCTCAAAATGGTCACTGGAACCCTGTTGTTCTTCCCCGTTAAAGACACCATTCCCTCCATGAGAAACGGAGCAAAAACTTCCAGTTCAGATTTGAGAGACCCTGGCTTTGAAGTACTCACCAAAGCGACAGTCTTTACAGGCTTCTCCTCATCCCGCAAAGCATAACAATTCGCAACAATATGACCTCTTTTCTTGCAGTAATGACACACTGGCCTATCCGTAGATCCCCAATTCACCTCTCCCGGTTTTTCCTCAGCAACTCTTGGCCTGCTGGACTGCCATGGCACTTTAGTGAAGACTGGGGTTTCTCTGATATTATTGTCCACAAACCCGGCCTGTGCCCTAGTCCTCTCACTGTAGACAGTCTTGTGAGTAAGCACATATTCATCAGCCAAAACCGCAGCATCAAACAGTTTCACCGGTTTTTGCTCATTGAGGTATGTGGCTACTGTGTAAGGCAAACAGTTTTTGAATTCTTCCATGAGCACTAATGTTTTTAGGTCCTCTGGAGATTTTGTCCACGTCGATGAGCACCATCGCTCAAACAGAACTTCTTTCTCACGGGCGAATTCCACATACGCTTGACAATCTTGTCTTTTCAAACCACGAAACTTTTGACGGTATGCCTCAGGCACCAGCTCATAAGCGCGCAGAATTGCAGCTTTCACCTGTTCATAATCCCGGCTAACCTCCTCAGATAACGCAGTATACACCTCCTGCGCTTTACCCGCGAGAACGCACTGCAGCATAACGGTCCACATGTTCCCAGGCCATTTAAACGTTGTTGCTACACGCTCAAACAGGACAAAATAGCTATCAACGTCTTTTTCGTTAAACACTGGGATAAACCGAGTATACTTGCCTACGTGAAACTCATGAGGTTGCGCAGACCCCAACTGCTGAGTTTGGTAAGACGTCAGCTCCAGCTCCCTCAAACGTAACTCCGCCTCATATTTCCTCAATTCGAGATTACAGGCGATCTCCTTCTCTCTCAGTCTGTTATCACTCTCCTTCTCTCTAACCATCAGCTTGCGCAGCTCTAGCTGAAGTTGAAGGTCGCTCACTTTCTGAGAGACCTCTGTCTCGTCGTCTATGGGAACGTCTACTTCCTCCTCTGACAATACCTCCTGATCTATAAGCGCAGCCAACAGCTGTCCCTTAATGACTGGTTTCTTGTTCTGCTTATTGACTACAACGTCAAATTTGCTTGCAATCAGACCAAGCTGCTGTTTGCTACATGCATCCAACTTCCCCTGAGTCGGATCACCAACAAACCCCTCCAAGTCGAAATCCATCACTGCAACTCTACGCTATACAGCCAAACAAACAAACAAAATGCTGTCAAGGGCCTTTTACAAAGTAATACTACTCACCACACCAGCACCTGCCCGAGACAGCCTTTGGACGAGTCCCCATATGTTACGACCCGCCTCCCTACTCAATAGTAGTGGCTCGTGAGGCAGTCCGCAACATAAAACAAAAGTACACAACACGTAGGCACTAAACTGTGATCATACATTTATTGCCACAATACTAAATCATTCCATTGGAGGACAGATAAAACAAACAAAAAGACGGAGGGGACTTGGGCCAACCATACCACGGGCCGTAGGATCCAGAGCCTTCCTCCGCTACCCAAAATCCAACAGAACCTAACGGGAGAAATAAAGCCGCGAAAACCTAATACTAACACGTCCTCCAGGAAACACCACAAAAAGGCAAAAGAGCTCTGACACAGCAGAGACATCCGGAGTAGTGATCGGCCCCTCCTTCTCCTTCAGTCTTCTCTTTTATGCTCGGCTGAGTGACAACTGGGAACACCTGGGGAAGGCGGAGCCAGGTGTACCTGCACAGCAGAGAGAACAAAGAGGACAACAAAAGGGGGGGAGTACGTAACACCATTAAAGAGGGTTTCATCCCTCCCATTCTATTCTATTCGATATGATACCTTTGAATTGTAGTTGAGTTAAATCATACAGTGGCATGAAAAGAAAATACTCAAGTAAAGTACCTCAAATTTGCACTTAAGTACAGTTTGATTAAATGAATTCAGTAACATTCTACCACTGCCTTTTACTGAACTTTATCAAGTGGTTGTGTCGCTTTTAACGGGGTTTTTATCTGCAACGTTATTAGCGTGTTAAAAACTGTGAATGACTCGTTTTTAGGAAATCTCTTGCAAACGGTTATTTTGAGATTGAACTTTTATGTTGTAC